AAAATATCCATTTTCTCCAAAATATTTTTTAAAATCAAACCATTTCTTTCCCCTTAGTTCAGCGGGCTAGAGAAAAATGAAGATTCTAGAGTGGGAAAGCTAGGATTTGGAAAACTTCGATCCATATTTTCTTTCAACCAAATTCTCAAAGTTATATGGATAAAAATAAGTTTTATTTTTACCTATCTCAATTTTAAAAATACATATATTTTGAGATTCTTGATTAAATTTATAACTTTATAATGTATAAATGAGACTAACTTTATACCTGCTAAACTTTCACTATATAACTTTTTACATTTTATAGAGGCAATTATTTTGCACGTTTAGGTATTTTTCTAAAAAAATTATGTTAGATAGTTTAAAAAGTATGATATTTTGTTAAGTTTGAAAATAATTTTGACCCCAAAAAATAATGTTGTAGTACAATAAAAGTTTGTAAATAGTATTTTAAACAATCCCTGATAATCTAGTAAATTTTTAAAACTACGAAATTCTACTGAGTAGTTAAATATATTATCAACTAGTGAAATATTATGTGAATCTTCAAAGTTTATTTATTTATGTTTCTTTCAATACACTGCAATAATGAATGTGCTTAACAACTTGAAATGTATGGTGTTGTGGAGCTTTGATGTTGGAGAAAGTTCTGGTATCGAATACACAGGGAGCCATAAAGGGCATATATTTTTGAATATTTGATATGTGCTAAGCATGGAGAGTTATAAGGGCCTATTTTATAATATGTTAGCATAAGGAGTCATAAGAGTTTAAATTATGATATCTATTTCTGATGGGAGGTATAAGAGCTTGAGGAAAACCTATTACTTTCTGCTTTGATATAAGAAGTGTTAATTTATTTACTTTTAGTACATAATTTACTTTAATTCAATTATTTGCAGTTAATATTATGATATGTACAACATATTACTTATCCTTTTCATTTAGTTAAATACAAAATAAGTGAATTATTAAAAATTTAGATTGATGGGTGTGACCTACTGAGTTATGTTAGCTCACATCTACTCGACACTCTATTTTAGGTCTGAGAATGGGAAAGAGGTAGTTGAGTAGCCAAGGGTTTAGGATCTAATCTGTCTGAATCTATAGAGGTATTTTTTTAATATTTTGTACATTCATGGCTAGTTATTCATTTTCTTTATTATGGTATGTAGTGATGTACTGTAATGTATAAATTATTGTTTATATATTTTGGATGATAAATGCAAGAATAGGAATTGTGCATAAGTTTTTTTATTGTATACTTATTGAAGTTAATTAGAAGCTATGTGGTCTGTTTAATTCAGAAGAAATTTGAAAAGCCCCTGAAACTTTGATCTTGCGTTTGGTCAGTCATAAGTTAACACAGTATAAAATGTTCTGTTTGTGAGTCATAATTGATTGGGTTGTAACAAATCTCATCCTGGATATTTTGAAGAGTATAATGAATATCTTTTAATGTTGATTGTCCCTCATCCCTTCTCCTCTCCACTAATTATTGGATTATCTCTTGCTAGCCTCTAATCAACCCCAACACCTCTTTATAACCCTAAGACATCCACAAACATCCCATTTATCCTCCACAAGCATTTAATGCCTCGACACATACTAAACCCTAATCATCTTCATATTAACCCAAAGCTAGCCCTTTTCAGATTCTACCTCTTCAAACATATAACCACCAACATCCAAGCCTTCAACTACTCTCATGCCTTCTCTAAAATAATCTTAAACCATGAAGGCCCTCTCTCTCTTCTCAACCGATCTCCTAATTTTACATAAAACTAACCTTAAGGTTCTTTAAACCTTTCATAGCCTCACTAATATCTCTCTAAACTATCACAAGTTTGAAGGTGCCTTCACCTTTAAAAAATCTCTTTAAAGCCTCTACCTAGCTCATAGGTGATCAATAAAAGATAATATTGAGAGCTCTAAAATAATTTCTTTTTATGCATTAGTTATAATTATTATAACAGCGAGTAATGGCTAGAACTATGATGTACTGGAAGTTGTGTTATGAGTCTCAGCATAGGAGGTATGATTATGATACATGTCTTAAGGAAGAATGGTATGCTTAATATCTTGAGGGAGATAGTTGTAGTGCTAGTCTTATAAGAGATAGTTGTTACGTAAATCTTGAGGAAGATGATTGTAGAATAAATCTTGAGAGATATCCTTGTAGTATAAATCTTACTGAAGAAGTTTATGACATAGGACTTGCAAGAGATAGTTATGATGCAAGAAATGGTTATAACATAAGTCATAATGTAGTAGCAAATGAATTGATGCTAAATTGACTACAATGAGAATGAAAGTTGTAGTACACGTCTACATGTCTTTACGAGAAGATAATAATAATGCAAATGACATAAATTTTATTTATGATACAAATAAAATTTATAACATGAGCATTGAAGTGATGCAAACTATTTTGCAAGAAAGGTTATGGAACAAGTTTTGATGTGGGGATGACTATGATGCATTAGAAGCTTATGATGCAAGGCTTAATGTGGAAATAATAGCAATATTGATGTAGCACAAACATTTAAACAAGAAAAAATAGTCCATAAAAGTCCAACTAGACATAAACCAATTACCATGAGTCAAATCATGTTAAAACAAATTCGAATTAGATCTATTTTGAAGTCATCGTAATCATATATATGTTCATGGTCAAATTTATTTGAATTTCTTTAGAAATTGTATCTCATTTTATTAGGCTTTATCTACATCTAGATTAAAATACATTTAAATTGAAGATGCATTAGAATCAATTTGAATTTTTGGCCTTATCTATGTGACCTTACTTTTATAAATAACGATTGATGACATGTACTTTTCATTGTCATTGATATTGAGTGAATGAAATTATTTATGGTTAATTGAGTGTTTTATGAATTCATATTATGTAATGGATCACCCTAAATTGTGCATGCAAAGTTCTATTCTCAACCTCTTAAATGCCTCGAAAGCAAACCCATGGCCACCTCCTTAAAGATAATGAGATGATCCTCCATTTCTTAAACTAGTTTGGAGTGACATGGTCATCATACTTAAGTGAACTATTACAATAAATTAATCAAACAAGGGAGAAACTACATGATTTAAGAAAAGGAGAAAAAGAGAAGAGACATACGAATAAGGAGAGATAGAGAGAGAACTTCAGAGTTTTCATAAAGATCACATGATCCATATGCCCACTCATAAATTCTACTCCCCATCCATAAAAAAAATGCTACCGAGTTACTTGCATATAAATTGCACAACAAGTAGAGCTATGAGTTTAGCTCGAAAATTAATTTGAAATTTGAATATGATCAAATCACTGAGTCAAGCTATGAGTCAAATGTTCAAATAAGAATTTTTTTAATCAATTTTGATTTGTAAGTGAATTGGATCGGACCAATATATCAAATAAAATTTTATGTATTATTAAAAATTAATTTTGCAAATTAATTAAAGACAAAAGCTTATTGAGTGGTATGATACCATCCTCCATACACCTATTATATCTGGCCAAAGTTTGAAAACTATTATATCTGGCTTGATCATTTAGGCTTCGTTTGGGACGGCTTTTTTATTGCTTTTTAAAACGGAGTTGTTGCGCAAATTTTTTAATTTTTGTACTAAAACTTCATTTTCAGAAGCAATAAAAAAGCCGTACCAAACGAAGCCTTATTCTCCGACGACCTAAAGGCTCCGGCTACTCTTCCTTACTTGCCTCATCACTTCATGAATTATAGTTTGTAACTTTATAAGGATTATTTTTCTTAAACTCCCAAGTCTCAAGCTCAGGCTCCACCTATCTTGATTTTCATTTACTTTCTCATACATCCTTTGCATTTGGCAATTTGCCCTAATTTTGGTTATTGTGATTAGTCATGGCTTTAGCATTACGCAAGGAGCAATTATTTCTCAATATGGTTAATGGGATGATTTGGTCGGAGATAAATTTTTTAGAGCTTCCGACTACGTGAACATTCGACTAAGGCTTCATTTGAAACAATTTTTTTATTGCTTTATAAATCAACTTTTTAGTATAAAAATTTTTTCAACTTGAAAATTTTTAATTAAAAAAGTGCTTTAAAAAGCATGAAGAAAGCTGCCCTAAACAAAGCAGGAACGATTTTCTTTCTGTTTCTTAAAGTAACTTTCTTGTACAAAAATTTCTTGAATTAAATATTTTTAAACTTAAAAAACTGTCCCAAACAAACATTTGGTTTAAAACGGCTTTTTTATTGTTTCTTAAAACAAAATTTTAATACTGAAACTCTATTTTAAGAAACAATAATGCTACTCTTATTGGATTATACGAAAATAATGGAATGCTAATTATATATTATGAACTATGTAAGTAAGCTTTCAATTATTATGAATTTTGTGAGAAAACTAGAAATTGTACATTGGAAATCATTTCAAATAAATAATGTGTAGATGCTGTTGGACTGGTTCTAGCCCGGGTGCTATCTAATTGTTGTAGGTCTTTGGTGCTGGCTTTCATTTGATTCTCTTTCTTTTTGGATTATATTGAAATGATGGAATGCTGTATTATCAACTAAGGTTGCACAACTTCTTTACTTTTACATGTTGTGATTAATTTCGATCTTGCCCAATCAAAACAAGCCTCATTCTAATTTTGAGCCAAATATTGATTGAAAAGCTCCATTCAAGCCAATTCAATATCGAAACAAGCTACACCAAAACTCAAAATCTTAATGATGATTAAGGCTTTCGTTTCGGATGACATTCTTACTGCTTTTTAAAACAGCTTTTTGATAAAAATAAAAAAGTCATTCCAAACGAAACTAAGACTTTGTTTGGGACGGCTTTCTTTCTACTTCTTAAAGCAACTTCTTAGTACAAGATTAAAAATCTTTGTACTAATAAGCTGCTTTAAGAAGCAGAACGAAAGCTATCCCAAACGAAGCCTAAGTTACGAAGAAAACTGATAAATTTGGCTTTGAAATTGATCTATAACTATCATTCGAAACAAAATGACATCGAAGAAACAAAAAAAAAAAAAGACATTTACTATCAAAAACATTAAGATGGAGCTATATTCCCGCATGATTTCGCATGCAAGGCTGGATAAAAGATATTTACAATCAAAAACCAGCAGCAAAGTTTATTCATGTATGAGTCCTGCTAAGTTCAACTTCATCAGCCAAAGACCACGCAGCAGCAGCAGCCTTACTGAACGCCTTCGTCAGTGTAAATACAATCACACATATAATACAACACACAAAAAATTTCTTGGACGAAAACATCCGCAGGTTTATCCTCATTCCATGCCCTCTCATGAAACTAACCACTGAATGACCAAACAGCCCAAGCGAAGAAGCAATTAGATTCAAAAGCATGGCTGCAACCTCCTTGGCTCCACCTTCAAAGCTCAAATCACAACTTGCCAGTTCCACATAAGTTGGTTGGCCAGGCTCGCTGCGGTTCGCAACACGGTCGAAGCCAAGAGACTGGTTTAACCAATTGGAAAATCTGAGCAGGAGCCTTGCAAGCCATGCGACTTCTGTGTCTGAGATCGGTCGGTGCATCCAGTCGCCCTTGTATTTGATATCAGCCCATTTACCAGTTCGGAAACCTGGATGCTTGGGGGCAAAAACATCCTCTCTAAAATGAGGAATGGCAGGGGCTTCTTCTAATGAGTTTGGTAGATGGGGATGGGAGACAATGGTGCCATCGAAAAGTATGTTCATTAGGGATTTGATTGAATCCAAGGCTTGAAGGCTTCGCATGTTGTCACATGACATCAAATGTATCTCATGCTCCGCTCGAATGACAAAGAACTGGAGAAAGAATAAAATTTATAACACCATTTCTCATTTGGCGTTTCAAAGACAGACTAAAAATTTTGAAGATAAATTTTTCCACATTGTGAGCATGGAATTTTTATTCTGTGCAGAGTCCGCAGCGTCCGGAGACCAATAAAAACATGCAACGTTACCCCAAAAATGTACCGCGCTTGGTACCGAGCTCGATACCCGCACTCGGTATCGCTCGGTACCGAGCACGTAACGAGCGCGTAACCGGACAGGAGAACCGTCCGGTGTCCGCACAGAATAATAGCTCGTGAGACATTTCACCAAACTCACTCAGAACTATGAGAACCGTGATTTATCAGAAAATGATTTTGCTCATATTGCCCAAACAGTTAATTTACAAGTCTATTATAACTCTGAGGAAGTGATAGCTTTATGTTGTTTAATAAATTGGTGCATATTGTAAATGCCATGAACTATATTTTTCATAAATTACTGAAGCTTGTGCTAATAGCATGTCATGTGTGCATCCCCTTATCCGTATGTGTGCATTAGGACACTATTGATGAAAGAAATACCTGAAGTAACTTCAGAGCCCCATCTTCCCCGTCATTAAAAAGTTTGAGATCTTGGTTCCAGTTTTCATGTAAGAATGATCCATCTGTGTCGCTCTCACATAGGCCTTCCTCCCAATCCTGAAAAAAAAGAAGAGGTGAAAGAAGTGATTTGCCATTCAACATTAAATTATTTCCTCAACCAAAATGAAACTTGGATAGCTTATTACCTTCAGCTGTTGCCGAATGGATGGAACATATTTATCCACATTAGTGTGTGAATAAAGACCGGATTGTTTTGAATGATATGCAGTATCAACTTTCCGAAGAAGATCTATCAGCTCCTTGGACGAAGTCAAAATGCTTAAAACCTGCGAAGCAAGCGAATCTTAGAACACCAAGCATTTCAGTTCAATTTGCAATTTAGAGAATCAGAAATGTATCCAAAGAGGACGTGCGGTGAATCTTATTTAATTGTAAATTCATTGAATCCTCACCAAACAAGAATAAAGAGTGACCAACATTAATTTCACACCATCAATATCATCAACATCAGCATTAGCATTACCATCTATTTGGGCTTGCCATTATGAAGTCTTATTTCAAGTTACTCTTATAGAGTGTTATTTGGAGTATTAAATATATTCTTTGCACATCATTTAAAATAACTTCTACCTATGTTATTAGACTTATCACTTTTACTTTCTAATCTTCTAACACTAATTTTAACAATTCATCTAATAAACGCATTTTCCAAACCACATAAATCTATTTTCAATCATTTTAAATTCAAAAGATCTCATTTCATCTTGTCCTCTCATGTAATGATTTTTTTATTTATCTTTCATCATTTTGTCTCACAACAACAACAACAACAACATCAAGCTTTTGTCCCACTACGTGGGATCGGTTACAAGAATCATTTTTCTCCATTGCGTCCTCTCACAATCTATCGTAAAATTTTGATTTCTATCATACTCTTAAATGTCGATGATTTTTTTTTACAACCCGCAAATAGATCCATATAACATCAACGGCATAATTGCAAGTTTATGAAATTTATTTTTAAACCTCCATGATATCCTCTTATCACAAAAAATTCTCAAGGCACTTCTTAATTTTAACCATCAGGCCTCCACTCTTGAATTTATATATTCAATTAAATGCTAGGTAATAGATAAAGATACTAAAACCCATCACACTAGGTATAACATTATCTTATAAGAATATGGAATGATAATTACCAACATCATGTTGCCTAAAATTACAAGCTATGTCCTACTAATTCTATATCTATCTTCTAATATTTCCTCTATTTTTTTAACTTTTCATACCATCAACAGAAGCAATTATTTAAACCACAATAACAAGAAAGCATAGTATGACAATTAGCAATGAAATGACATTGAGAACACTTTTCTTCTGCTCCCCTTCAAAAGGTGAAATTATTTTGTTCGGATACGGATGTTGTCCGGAGGCGAATCAGAGCGCATCACATCACCCCTTGCTATGAACCGCGGCTATGTACCCGTTGTGTACCAGGTGATGTGGCGCGCTCTGATTCGCCTCCGTAAGGTCATGTGTTCGCACAGAATAATTTCTCCTTCAAAAGGCATATAAGAAACTTCTCTTACGGGGCAAGTTGGAATTCAATATCACTCTTCTATTGCAACATTTAAGAGACTTACAGAAGTTCAAGCAGACAGCTGAAATAAAGCGACAAAGGATATTAATGAAACAAATGTAAATAATAAATAAAGCATGATCATAAAGCCTATCCAATAGTTCAAACAGCTTTATAAAAATGATTGAAATCGAAGAAAATACAAAATCCATCATTACTGACATGGATCAAGAATACCCGCATAGAATATTCTTATACCACCTTGTGGATATGGGCGTTCAAATAGCAGAAGTCAAGGTTTATTGATGTAATTATGTACTGTCTTTATGACGCCTAATTTAGAAAAGTGTGAAGACTAGAGATTAACAACTAATCAGGCAAGGCAATGGACTTAAACAAGCCACAAAATCATCGCTGATAGCTGGACTGATCTCCTAAAAAATAAAGGAACAATCATGTTGATACAAGTCGAACAGGGAAGAATAAGTTGTTCTACAACACTATTAAACAGATAATGTAAATGTTCTAAAGAAAACGCAAAAAAAATATTTCTCTTTACCAAATCAGAAGAACTTGCACACGTTAAGGATTCTGGCTGGAACCGAGACAATTTAGGTTAAAAGAATTAATTTATATATAAGGTAAGTGCAAAACTTGAAGAAAAAAATGAACATTTATTGCTTGAACGGAAATAAAAAAGAGCTCGACAACATTTTCAAATGTATCATATAAAATCAATAAAGGATAACACAAAATAAAAATTCAATCTAATATTCAATGAAAGATATTAGCTCATCAATTAACATGAGGAACATAAATGCTCTTTTCAAGTTATGACTTTTAAAGACAATTCACTTTTGCGGTTCTATAAAACTTGCAACATTATCAACAACAAGCCATTTTTGCTAATTAATGTACACTTTTATTTAGAAACTCAGCAAAGACCAAGTATAGAAAGCAGCAAGAGCACCTATAGGAGTGCAACTTCTTAATCATGAAAAAAAAAAATTATCTAGAAAAGAATCCACAAACTGCAACACATACTTATACGTTTAAAGAAAGATTATGCACGTACATGCATACATGTAATATCCAGAATATCTTTATGATTCTCATAAGAATGTTGCACAATGAATCAAAACGCCTAAGGAGAGGAAAAATGATATTTGTGCTTATATAAACAAAGCGATAATGTCAAAACATTTGGCACAGAGACAATTTGGTGAAAATGTTATATGTGGAAGTTGGTTGAGATCGAAGATGAAGGGAAGATTGGGAGGATATTAACATAATTGAGGTTGAGGGATAAGAGAAAGCACTTCACTATAATGATAATTCTAATGAAGACCTAGTAAGTAATAAGAGTGGAGGAGACTTATGAATTCATAAATTATAATCTTAATGGCTTAGAGCCTTAGACTACTTATTCATATTGCTTCCAGATAAGGCCACGTCATATGAGTATGCCTAACTTTAGAATTTTTTACAAAACTTCATTGTTTTACCAAAATACCTCGATGTTCAAGAGTTTCACTTCACTAAACTTAAGGGATTTTACAATTTCCCTCAATTAAGAAATTGGAGTCCTCATCATTCAGCTTGTAAATAATCCAAAATTATTCCCAAGGCAAAAAAAGATTGCAAATATAGTCTATATGGTTTCAAGAGATGGCCCAAAATATGTAACATTTTATCTTAAATAAGTTTAAGAGGTGTCTCCCATGGAGTACTACTTTGTTGAATATGATAATTAGTTCCCATCTTCCATTCAATGTATTATTCTTGATACCATTTGTAATATTATGAACTCTGAACCATCAATATATTGGCTTCTTTGGCCTAGCAAACCTCATGATTTTATCCTCTTGATTTAACTTCCCAACGAAGTTATCAATTCTAAAAATGATCCAAAAGAGCACATTTAACGAAGTTCCTAATAAAACTCCAATTATTACACCAAAAGGGGCTTCCATATCTCAACATTCCACTTCATTATATTTATGAGATATTGTGACCAGCAAGTCATCAAATATTATAAAAACAGTAATGCATGATACAAATGTATGACATTTTCTTACATATTTTAAAATTCTATAAGCTACCATTTGGTTTACTAAAAAAGAAATGCAGATCAAAGGAAAACAATGTAAAATAAATATAACGTATTTGAAATATTTTAATGTTTTTTGTTACAACAACAGCAACAACATCAAGCCTTTATCCCACTACGTGGGAAGGAGTGTAAAATAAATACAACCGATTTTTTTTTTTTATGAAGAAAAATAAATTGAAAGTAAAACCCAGCAGCGATGGCAGGCAACAAGGGCTAGCAACGTGCTACCCGACAACATACGTTAAGTGAAACTTCACACACATGAAGTATTTGGAATTCGGCCAACTAGGATAAGTTCCAAATACATTGAAAATAAACTAAAAGGTGGATTTCAAACAATAATGATGATAGTTTGGTTTTCCTTCAACGATGGTTGCATGATGCCGACTATGCTTGAGGGAACCAAAAGGAAAAAGGAATATTATTTTCAGCCAGCCTGGCCAATCAAATCAAAATAAGTAAACCATTACTCAATAGAAAGCAAGGTCTTTAGGGATTCAATTACCAATATAAATCAAGGTAGTGCTTGGTCAAATTTTTAAAGATGCCTCAACCAAGATCCATTTACATCATCATGATCAACATTAGCCTTATCCTGTCTATTAGGGGCTGGCTTTATTAATCCTCATTTTTCAATTATTTCTAGTAGTGTTTCATGATGTGTTAAACATATTCTTCATAAATCATTTTAAACTTCTATCCATGTAACCATAGGCCAACCGCATCTCCTTGTTAATCTTCTAACGCCAAACTTTCTACTCAGCTAATATACGGATTTTTTACCATGTGTTATATAAGACCAGACCACCTAACACTATTTTTAATTATTTTATCTTCAAAATAAGTTACTCAAATATTTCTTTTAATATTGTCATTACTTAATTTATCTTTCTTAGTTTTGTCAAATAGTTAACTTAAAGGTCTCATTTTTATCATGCTCAACTTATATATCGTCTTTTTTATTACACAACACTCAAATTCAAACAACATCACCAACCTAATCATGGTTTTGTAAAGTTTACCTTTAAGTCTCCAAAATATCCACTACCCCTTTTTAAAAGTTTATAGGAAGTAGGCATATCATTGGAAATTAGGAATATATGCATGGTTAGATGGGTCTTGGCATTTTATATTTCCCTTCAAAACAATGATGAGAACATTGAGGAAGCAAATGAGATTTCCCCATACATGCACAAATGGCTTCAATTTTTCCTATAACATCTAAGATTAGGGACTTTGCTGAATTTATGGTTGACTTACCATAACACAATATCTCATGAATTTATTCATAGATAATCCATCTAACATATTAAGAAAAAAAAACTAATATAAGCCACTAATATAATAAAGCTTCTTGGCAAACAATCTGAATTTGGTCATGTTGAAAGACAATACAACTTGTACAATTTGTGTCCATTACCAACTATTCACTTTCCCAATCATCCTCAAATCCAATCTCCATACATTACAAATAACCAATAAATTTGGATACAATACTATTGTTTTTGTTGTCAGCATGGTTGAATTGAGTCAAGTTCAAGCAAGTTAAGGTCAAAAAAAAATTGAAATTAAAAATAAATGTTTGGCTCAAACTAGACTTGTCATCAAAATCAATTTGAGTCGACTCAAAATAAATTTTGAGTAGGTCAAAAAAAAATTTCATCAAGGAAACACAAAATTATATAAATATGAATATTATACTATGAATTATACATGTATTATGTTAAATACAGTATATATTTTATAAAAATCTTTATTTTCAATTCACTCAAACTATATTCAAGTAAGTTGAAAAAAATCTCAAAATCAATTTTGAGTTTAGGGTGAAACTCGAAATTCAATTTAGTCGAATCAAATTTTGAACAATTTTTTAGCAAACTTTGAATTTTTAGTAGCTTTAGTGGTCATTGTGATAGAACTCTCCATAAATGCTCACATGAAAGATTCTTAGGCTGCCTTCGAAATAAGTAACTACATCTCTAAGCAATTATAAAATAGGGAACTTAACCAGAAATTAACATTTACACATTTCACACATAAACTTCACAATTTATGCCAGCAAAAACTTATTTAACTAAGTTAATGGATCTCACCGAACACTCATTGGATCTCACGAGAGTATGAGACACACCGATGGGCCCATCTCCGCCACCACCATCGAGAGCTCGAGGGTGAGGGCATTAATGGTTCCAAGTAAGGAAATCACACGACAGCTCACAATAGGCGCATTGATACGTGCAATCGTAGCAAGCTAAAAAGCGAGGGCATCACTATGTCTAGCAACAAGTACAACATGCGAGATGAAAATGTTGAGGATTTTAACAGGATGGGGTGTCATTTTTTTATTATATTTGAATTTTTTGGGTGACATGAATGTAAATAGTGAAGTTTAGCTGTGAAATATGTAAACACTAAAAATTTGAGTGCTATGTATGTAAAATCCCCTTTCTAAAACGAATCGCTTGCCAATGTATTGAAAACAATTAACAAGTTAATAAATGGACTATAACCAGTCGTTCAAAAAAGTGTATTTCAAGCATATTTACCAAAATTACATCAAAACTTCCAAAAATATTGGGTGTAATATTTAAAGTCACAAGTTCCCAAATATATGCTACAGTAAAATGTTGGCATAAAAACTTAATTATAATCTCTTAATTCCTTAATGGGTTGCAAGAAACTTGAACAAAAGTTTGATTTAGGCATACAACGCATGATAAGCTCCTTGCGAGAGAAATTTCACAACCAAAAAGCGAGAAAGCAAAAATGCTGCAAAATTTTTGAACTAAGATTGAGTGTATAGAACAAACCTTCAACACCATGTCAACTACTGCCTCAACATTTGCGTGAAGAAACTTGTGTGCAAAACCAAGAAAATGCACGACTAAAGAGCTGTAGAAAAGATAATTAGAAGCTACATAGCCCTCCCAAAGGGATGTGTACACAGCTAGTGCGTTGCATCTTTCACTCTCTCCAATGATTTTCCCCTGAACCATATGTTTTTTCGAACTCTCCAATTTGTGTACTGTTGGCGGCTCATACTCATCAAAATCTTCAGGATTAATTCTCCAAGGAACCATATATGTTGCCCACATAGACAAAACTTGGGCCACATTCTTCATAGATGCCCCAATGGGACAGAAAAGGAAAGTCCTCAAGAGAAACCTATACAAGGGCCTCTGTACCACTAAGTTCCAGGAACAGGCAGTGTTCTCTAAAGAAAGCATTGGTCTCATGGGGGAAGTACCAACCGACCCTAGAACCTTCTGATTACTTCCTTCAGCACGAAAGGCCAAGCAAGAACCAAGGTATTTTACAAACAACTTCACCATTTCACCCAATCCAGCAGTCGGAGGTGTCTCTAGTATGAATGCTCGACGCTGGAATGAGATACCAAATGAACGGCAAACATTCAAAGGCAAGGGTGAAAAATCGTTGTCCACTAGCCAAAAATGAATCAAGGTATAGACGAGGAACTCAGCCTGCTCAAATGCAGAAATGTCGCAGCTAGAAGAATAATGTAGAAGCGAGCTGCGGTATGGCTGCTGAGAGCCCAAACCACACTTGGGCACAAAGGCACACAGATAGGAATAAAGAAGTCTGAGGTACAAACTAACTTCAGTCTTCTGACCAGACCTCCTGCTGGGGCTGACAAGGACTGGTAGAGACGATGTCCAGCTCTCCAACCTTGACTTCCGCCGGCTCTTCGTTGCCAAACTATCATCCGAAGCATTAATATTCCCCCTACACACGGGATAGTACGCAAACCAAAATATGTAGTACTCGAAAGCATTCAGCTGTAGCTGGAAAGTCCCCTGGATTAGATCCTCCTTGACCCTGCCTCTGAATAGGGGGCAGAGGTCGGAAAGGATCGACGAATGGCGCTCGCTCTGCAGCACGTACCTCATCCACTCCGGAAGTCTCTCCGCCGGGAATACGTACTTTACAAGGCCATGACGATCCGCAGAGGAGATCGCCGAGAAGAGAGGGCCCTGGGGGGAGAGCAGCACGAAAAGCCGAGCAGCTAGGTCAGGATTGTTATGAGCCTGGTCAATCCAGGCGGTGGAGGCGGAGGTGGAGCGCGTCGGGTTTGTGGGAGATTCGTCGAAGCCGAAGAGACGGCAGATGATGGACGGGAAAGCGATGGAAAAGAATGCACGAGACTGATCGGTGGAAAGCTTGCATAGGATGGAGTCGACGGCGGAGATCGCGGAGACGATGGCTGTAGGGGACGATGATGAGAGAACGGAAGAGGCGAGTTCCTGAGCTAGGGTGTGAGCATCCATGGAGTAAGGCCGGAGAATCATCGCCGAGATTTCGAGCTAGGGCCTCCTCAATTTCAGATCGGACTCGGCTACGATGGGAAGAGCAGAAGAGGCGGCGGCGTCTTTGGCTTGTAGCCTCCGAGGGCCAAAAAAAAATAGCAGCGAGAGAACGGGTTAGTCGAAAGGGATTTCAAAGTTTTAAAACGGGGGAGAATGCCGGGGAGGGTCAAATGGCTAGACAGCTGCTTTCGGGGTTGGAGGCTGATCTGGCAACTTGTGAACAATATAAAAATGCAACAACTGTCCAAATACCCTTGCATTTGCTTCGAGATTCGAGCAAAAATGAAAGATAATATCATCATAACAACGCGACTACTTCACGTGTCTTATTGCAGATCTAATGGATTAGAACTAGTTTTATTAAGATCTGTGCAGGCAAGTGCATAGGATATTTGACCTTCGGTCTTCTGCTCGGCGCCTCAAGTGAGCGTAGCGTATCCAGAAAGCGCCACGACGGTGGACGCGTAGCAGCCGTGCTTGCATAGTTGCATTGAAGAAATAATATAAAATTCATGATATTATAAATTATTATTATTATTATTATTATTATACAAAAGGACTATAGTTTAAATGAAGAGCTAATTTAAATTTCTTTGTTATCTATCTAACTATAGGATACGTAGAGCAATAAAATATTTGTTATCCCTCATGTTGCATTTTGTACAATTACAAATGGCATACATATAATGACATAAATAACTTCTCAGGTGTTTCATAAATAGAAATTGAGTCATAACAAGGATGTTCGCCTTCAAGAAGGATTCTTTGGAGCGTTTCTTTGAGATCATCACATGAACTCGTCGAAGAGATTAGTGGACTCTATTTTGTCTGAACCTACTAAGGAGTTTGCTTTATACGGGTTGAATCGAAGATCACTGGTTAAACAACCACTTGTCGCCACGTCTCTCAGTGGCTCTCCCATAACATTCAAGCTCGTCCAAATCAGCCACAAGAAGACGCTTATTAAAAGAACTCACTATATTATTCTACTACTACTGTTTAACTTAAAGCTCTCTTTTTCTACAACATTTCACTTATCTTTTCCCTCAAAGCAATCCCAGATCTTCTACATTAATTCATGAGCTTATAAATTATTAGTATTATTATATAAATGATTGTAGTTTAAATGAAAATTTAACTTTCATTTGTTTGTTATCCATCTCACTATGGAATATATGGAGAGAAAAAAAAATTTCGTGTTGCGCCTAGTACAATTGAAAATATTCATGATTTCAACTGTTACAAACATCGAAATGAAAAAATAAGAGGTAACATCCCTTTAGATCTTAGTCTTCGAAAATTTAATAGCATGATTTATTAAGATATATTTCTTATTATATGATTTTTATTTGATTTATTTAAATTATTAAAGATTTATTTATGTTTTTAATCAACTTTTAATTAATGTGTTATTATTATTTAAATCTATTTATTTAATTTTTTTTTTTAAGTTTCATCTTATTCATTTATTTAATTCTAATTTATTTTAGATTTTATTTTTACTTTATGTAATTCAGATTCATTAATATTATTCATTCACAGAAGGTTAATTGGGTTTAATTCATTTTATGTTTAACTATTTCATTTTATTTTATTAAGAAATTTATTTTTATTTTTATTTATGTAGAATTATGCACATTATGTGATAGGAAAAATCAAGAAAGGATGTTTATAACTATAGGTGATAAATCAAAACAATGCAATCTTAATCTTGTCACTATGAGTAAAGTCCTGATCACTAACAAGTTTGAAAAATTAAACATAGGGTTTCTACAATGACCTAAGGTTTTGGGGGGCTCCTAATTACATGCAAGGCTTTGAAAACTTAGGGGCACTAAGTTTATAGAATTTACCTCACTAGAGCAAGTCAACAATGTAAGCCGATTTGCTCTCACCTTGCAAAGGATAAATGGAGGGAAGGAGAAGCTCGAGCTTGTTGTCCAAGTATATCCATATTTCCTCGCAAATAACACAAAGAGAAAAGTATGTGTCAGAATTCATGTAATTTAATGTCTAAATTAATATGTATATAAAATTTATGAATGATACTTGAGAAAGATTATGCATATAAAGAACACCGGAGAAATCAAAGGACCTCACCACTATAACTTAATTGACATAGATGATTGCACTATTTGAATCAATGATTTTAGAAATATTGATTTTTTAATATTCTCATAGCAAATGGAATCAATCGTTAGCTTGCTAAATTTGTTCTAAGTAATTTTATGCTCAACAATTCTAATAATTTTGGGACATTAATGGAGTACATACATAAGTAGATCCTATTTTTTAAAGTATTGCGTTAGTATTCAAAGGAAACACTAAGCACGAGTAGCCAATTTGTAAAAGAAGAACAACTATAATATCACTAATAGCTTCAAAGATCTACATATATAGATCCCTACCAATTTCCAAAAACATTTTTATATGAAAGTATTTGATGGCCATATTAGCATGAAATTAATGAACGTATGGTTTAAGAATGCTATAAGAACCCACTTCACCTCGTCATTAACATAAGCTTTGAATTGAATAAATAATACATCGAAGATATCGAAATACCGTCATACTATCATCAAAATCACAACGAATCATATATCGTATAAAAAACAAATTTAGAGGGTCTTAAAGTGGTCATTAAAAAAAAGGCCCTTATTTACACTTTCTTATAGATAATAGATTCATAACTTTTCAACATTAATATAAACACTATGATATATAAACAACACATTGCAACATATGTCTAGATGAATACAAAAGATTTCACCCGTCTAGTCTTAATGAAATGAAAATTTTAGCACCTTAACAATCAATGTCTGCCGTAGAATTTTTTGAGAAGCAGCATGTAGAGAGAGAAAAATTCAAGCGGATCGGGGTCGTTAAATTCAAATTGATGATTTGTAATAGCCAATTGAACGAAATTGAGTCCAAATCAAACCCGATTTGGATCCACTCGAGTCGATGCCAGTTCGATTTGATTCGATCGAGTCTATTTATTAACATCAAACTCAAATTGACTTGATTTGATTTAAATTGGGTTCAATTTGAATAGAATGTTATTTTTATTTACTTAATATTTATAGGTATTTATTAATTATATATTTTAATTTTAATTTTAAGTTATTTGTTTTTTTTTAATTTTACATAAAATAAAAAGAAAAATCTTTTTTTATATATTTAAAATAATAATAATAATAATAATAATCTTTAATTCTCTACCCTCGACATGTATCAAATGACACTCAGTTCATGCACAAATGGGCTTGTTTGATTTGTCTCAATGAGCCAGACGCAACGATGTGGACTGTTTTACAAAATGTGGTCTCAATCAAAAGATAAAAAGTATGGAACAAACATGCACATAGAAGGTTCAAATGCACGTATCAAATCGACATCGACTCGATCACATATATTTATAAACATAGAAATAAATAATATGTGATCAAAAGGAATAAATTTGAAGTCAATGATGAATCACAATAAAATACGCAATTTGAACATTCATCCAACACAACAGTGCAACATGCAAGAGGATGAACCAACCCATAAAATATGCAACAAGTCAATGCAAATGATTGATGATAAAAAGGAGGTCAACATCCTATTCCTTTTGGCCCTACCATTCCTGTCCATCTTATATTTGCTCTCACTACTCCCATTTATGATGTTGAAATTTTCAATATGGTTTATTTTATTCCCAAAGGATTCAACCCCTAGGCTTGATGGATTCACTTTTGGGTTCTATGCCTCTATTGGGGATGTGATTGGGCATCATGTTTATAAAGCACTTCTTCGAGAAAGGGTATCTTTCTAAGGCTGTGAAAGCTTGGAAATGCTCTGATCTTTTATGGGACTATATTTGAATATACACCTATTTCCCTTTGTAATGCTTTTTAATAAAATTATTGCAAAAAATTTGGCTTTTAGAATGCAAGCTGCCATGCTTTATACTCTAGAATAGCCAAGCTGATTTCATCAAAGACATAATATCTTTAGAAAACATTATATTAGCTAATGAAGTTCTTACTGATATTTCATTCAAGAGGAATAATCATTAGTTTTACACAAAATTGGATCTTCACAAAGCATTTCATTCTGTTTCAAGAGAATTTTTTTGAACATAATGAATTTGAAAGGATTCCCTCCATTGTTCATTAGCTGAACTTATGATTGATTCATGAATCTTCATTTCTCCCTTTACATTACAAAAAACAATTAGAAGGATGTTTCCCTTTTAAATATGGTCTTAAGCAGGGTTTCCCTCTATCCCCTATCTATTATGTTTAGTTATGGATACATTATCTGTAAAGTGCTTATTTTGCTCCAGGATCGTCCAGGACGATCTAGGATCATCCTGGGACGATCAGTTGAAGTTTTGTTCTAGAATGTGTGTTTTGATTAAAAAAAAATTATGATTTAAATATATATATAAATTTTGAAAATATTTAATTATTTTGGGAAAATTAACTTTTGAACTCTAGTTTTGAAATCTAACACAACATTAGGAACAATATATCATCCCAAACATGGCTCTTCTGCTCTGTTTCTTTCTGTCTGAGCCATGGTCTGTAGTTGTAGATGATTGTTTTGAGGAAAAGAAAAAAAAATAGATGTTTTGTTCCGCTGCATTTGATGTTTCATAGTAGCTCTGTGTGTCTGTTTTTGAGTTGAATTATTTGGAAGAATCAGTTCCGAAGCAAATTCCAAAGCCAGATCCTGGTCAGTCAGTTTGTTCGTTCCGGTCGCGACCCGGTGCGAGCGGGATCCGTCCCGGATCGGGTCGGGTCGTGACATTATCTAACTTATTTGAGGAGCAAATTAGTTTTAATTCTTTTAAAGGTATATGTTACAACCCAACCCAACATGATAGGTCTTATCATGTTGAGTTGTGGCAAGCAAATCCTGATATCTATTTTTTTTTAATATTTCTAATTCTCTTCTAATATATATTTTAAATAAACAACAAGCTACATATATACTAAAACATCAAGCATATATAAAATAAATTCATCCATAAAATCTCTTTCATTTCATCAAAATGTATACACATGATCTACAATAAAGCTAATCATGACTTCACAAAAATATTAAAATGAAGAAATACAAATAGATGTAAGAGTATTTCATGACACTTTCAAAGTTAATATTTGAAAATGGA